TTTGACTAAATACTGTAGCTGATTTGCCAAGTAGTAATATTGGAAATTTGGCGCTTCTCGGCCACCTAGTGATTTCTTCTTTTGCAGTGTAGATAGAGAAATTTTGGGTTTCTTGTTTTTCCAATAAAATTGTGAAGTTAAAGAATCAAGTGATTTAAACCATTTATCTGTGGGTGTTGTGGGAAGCACGGTAAACAGATAGTTGAGGTAGTGTTTTCATTTTGACAGCTATTCAACCGATGAGTGAGAGAGGAAGATTGGACCAACGTTTAAAATCATCTTCTATCTTTTTTAGCAGGGGGGTGTAGTTGAGATTAAAAAGTTCTGACAGTATGGGGGAGATATTAATACCAAGATATTTAATGTTGGCTGTGCAGAATTGGGGGGAGGAGAATCCCAGGCATCCTCAGAGAGTGGGGGTATGGTGGATTTATTCCAGTTTATTGTGTAGTTTGAGGTCTTAGAGAATGTTAATAATGTGTAAAGTTTACTGTAGAGAATTATAGGGATTTCTAAACAAAAGGAATCTAAACAAAGATTTCCCAACTTGTTTCACTCTAAAGCCCAGAGAAGACACAAAGATTTCCCAACTTCTTTCACTCTAAATCCCAACAAAGAGATGATATTAAGTGGTTTAAAAACGTATCCATATAACCATCTACTGTTCAGTCGCTCAGAGCCCAGGCCGAGGGATGTCTTCTCCTAGTTTGTCCAGAGAAGGCTCATCAGCCACGTTGTCTCCGCTTGAGATTTCTCTGTCAGGAAAAATAAAAACTCTTCCTGCATGGCCAGTTAGAAACGTTAATCAACAACTTCCAAGTTAGTTCACATGAGACATAGAGTGTGTCAAAAGAAATGATGTCACCAGTCGTATTTTTGTACACGTGAGACTCCCTAAGAGCGGCCTCTGGTGTAAATGTTTAATATTTTTATCTCATTCGTTTTCTCGTTTGCTTCAGTAGAACACCTTCCTTGGCTCTGATCCTCTGGTGTTATTGTTGATATTTCACTGGTGCTGCTGTAGTATATGACACAGAGCTCAGAATAACAGGACATATGACCTGCATAGCCCATGAGTGGCTTTCTTGGTCAAGGCCAATTTGTCAGCACCGAACCCTAGAAAATGTATCTCCCTGTTTACAAATGGAGACTGGTTTACTATTCAAGGGCAATGAGCACCAGCAGCCTGATCAATACTGAAAGCTGCTGTCGCCGTTTCCTGCCGACAAAAGAAGCATAAATCACATGTAATATGTATGTCTGTTTCAGTTACTTGTGCTCCCGTCCCGCTCTTTCTCTGCCTTTGTTCTCCAGAAGTCAGAAAAGACATATTCTTCGGGGACACAAAGGGGCGATTCTGTGCCGCCACCAGGCTTCAGTCAGAGATGGAGTCATAGGAGGTCAGCTGCTGGGGAACGAGCCAGGCCTGTTGTGTGCCAGAAAGGAGCAGAGTGGAACTGACATAGACATTAAACCCAGAGACACTGGTCATTTTTGAGCTTCACATTGTTGAGCAGTTATAATTAATTCAGCTGATTTCATGCTGTGCCCATGACATTTGCAGGGAGGGAAGCCTTGAAAACAGTCATTTTAAATAGTCACACACATATGAAAAGCAAATTTAAGAAAGATGATTGCTCCACAAACTACAGCAGTGATGGTTTGTGGTCCCACCCGGTTCCTGTTGCCCTGAAGCTGCAGGTCCAACAGAATAGCTGCTGGATCCAAACGGTCTCGTGCTACGTGTTCTTCAACACTCAGCTTCATCACCACAGTCATTTTGAGAATGTGTCTTATACAACAGCCTTGGTTTGCCTTTTCAGAAAGCTGCTGAAACCACCCACTCATTGGTTTCCTGAAGAAAAATAAACTTAAAAATTTAAAGTGCCTGGTGAACCTGAAGGAGTGTGCACGGCCTATGTCTGTCTGACTGAGCTGCCATATTATCACACATTCCAGCATAAGCAAACTGCTGCTGTCAATGGTTCCTCTGTGTCGCCGTCACCTCAGAGACAACAGGAATGCTCCTCCACTGCGGCCCCCTCCCCGTCCCTCTGCAGGCCGAGGCCCAGGCTGGTCTGTCTGAAGACGAGGAAAGGGGCAGAAAGACTGAGGCTGAGAGACTAAGATTGCACAACACGAGATAAAAACACAAGGAGGAAATAGAGTCATTTATGCGACCTACTCTATTTCCTCTGTAAATGATTAAAGCGATCACCAGGTGAACAGATAACATTTCATAAAGTCATGTCATCTTCATACACATGGTTAGGATAATGATTCTCTGGGGCTTTGTGATATGATACAGATCCTTCAGTGAGTGTGTCAAAAGAAATGATGTCACCAGTCATATTTTTGTACAGCTCACCACAAAGCAACTAGCTGGACTTTAAGAGCTATAGCAACCTCACCCACTTCCTGTAGAGAATGCGTAGGCCAGTGTTTCAAGTCCTTTTGTCTACATTAACCCACAGTGTCTGTCAGCATCGGCACAGAGAGCCCAAACAGGCCTGTTTACTCAGGGGAGGCCCAGTGATGGAGAGAAGCCTGACATTTCCTGTTCACATGCCAAGGAAAAGACATTTTTCTGCCAGCCATCCCATTTTCCCATCTGCCTTCATAATGTAACTGAAACACATTCACACACCAGTTATACGCAGCTGTGCTGGAAGAGGAGGAGCTGTTAAATACTGTCTGCTTAGTTCATCATTAAAATCTTTGATGTGTATACATCTATTTTTATAAGCCGAGGAATGTGGTTTCATTGTGCCCCTCTGCAGCGTAGAATCTGAACCAAACTGACACACAGTCATCTTTTCTCCTTAGTTAATGCTCAGAAAGCCACCGAGTCTTTCACCTGCTGCTACGTGACCTGGAATCATGGCACTGATTGTTACAATGCTTCTTGGCAAGATGCACTTGTCTCTGCTTGTTTGCTTTTATGCCACTTCCTCAGGTGTCCCGGGTATTTAATTACAGTCATTCTCTGGGAGACACTGGAGACAACACAATCATGTAATGAAACTGTCAATTTGTTTCACCGCTGAGTTTCCCTTGTCTTCAGTGTGATTAACCATAAAGCTCTTTCCTGTAGTTTTACAAGGTGAGAAGAGGTTTTGATGTGAAGCACCTGGAGAGTGAGTCACAGTGTCTCTATGTTTTGTGACAAACCTTCATTACAAAGCTCACAGTGTAAAGAAAGCGGAATGACACTTCATTCTCAGTGCTGTTCTCCTAACAGCACCGTGTAACAGACAGTATTACTGAGACAGTACTGAGCTTCCTGGGTCGGCGGTCTAAGGTTGAAAGCGCCATCTAGTGCTCTAACATTATAAATGGTCATCGCTTTATGTGGGATCCTTTCCGCCGTGTTGACTGAGGAACTTCGCTGTGACGTGGTCAAATGGGGCTTCCTTTGTCTTTCCTGGCTGCCGATTCGCTGGTTGTGATTGACCGAAGGTGGAGGAGCTGAGTGCGCCCAGGTGTGCGTAAAGGAGGAGCTGTGCTTTCCATGCAGGTGGGGTCTACACATTCTCACCTCCCCAGTTTCATTCCTGGTTCGAGTCTGGACCTGAACATAATGTATTCGACCTGACTGCACTTGGTTAAAGTCATGAGTGGTAAGTCAACATTTAAGATGTCGATACCCTCCTTAGTGCGCTGTTTACTCCACGTCTGCGTTCATGGTCGCTGACTGTGCTTGACTGGGAAATGGTTGACAAAGTTGCGGCTGCTCTATCAGTCACAGAAGTAGGCTACACGTCGTATGGCAGCAGGGCTGTGTTACAGCCTGTTGGTGATGTGTTATCAGGGATACAACTCAGGTTCCGTGTCAACAGAATGAAGACTGCAGCTCTGAAGCACAAGTATAGAAAGTGTTCCTCAACACTTTACATCCAGTTCACAAACACACTGTACAAGTCTGACACCTGCAAATCTGAAATGTGCTGCTGTTCCCACTCGACTCAGTCTTTTTCTAAAGCATCCACTGCTGTTTATTTTGGCAGCCACTGGTTCATTTCTGAGTTGGTTTGACACATTTGGAGGCTTCTGATAAACACATTTTGTCCCTATTCTTCATGTTGCAATGTATCCGAGTATATTATTGAATCAGTATCAATGAAGATTTGTGTCATTTGATTTTTAATAATTTCATCTAAATGGACGTAGATCTTCATTTTGCAGCACAGAATAACAGATTGTACAGTTATAACTTGACTTTGGGTTTAAATTGGTGCTATCAACCATTTCCTAGTAGATTATACTAGTATTCCAGTTTGAGTGAGCGTTAGGAGGAGTTACCTGGCAGTTGCATGAGAGCAGCATCTCATTGGGCTGTTTATGAGGTGATGGCAGAGATTCCAGAGCATCCAGACCTGCTTTAACCTGCCTGTTAGCTCTTCTGATCAGCTGCACGCTGCAGCACACACTCACTCTCATTAATAGCAAATGAGGACAGAGACACTGGTAAATACATAAAGGCTCATAGTCATGACTGATTAATTTGTTGGCTTTTTTCTTTAATTTAATTTTAAGTAATGTATCCCATAAATCTCCCATCAGAAGTTATCAGAGCCCAGAGTAATGTCTTTACTGGTTGCTTTATAAAACGAATGAAACACGATCTGCTCTGCAGAGAGAGGTGAAAGGAGCCGCTGACCTCTGTTCATACCCCTCCCAGGGTACTTCGTTCTGCTGATCCTAGATGTTCCTAGGACGAGATTAAAGATAAGAAAGGTGCCTTTGAAATAGCTGCCCCCATATCATGGAATAGTTTACTCCTCTGTATTAGAACTGCACCCACACTGACAGCTTTATTTGCCTTGGCTTTTAAATTAAACTGAGATGTTATGTGTTCTACGTGTTGTCTTTTGCTGGTGTTATTCTCTGGTCAACTGATGTTGTTTTTAATCGTGCCTATAAGTAAATTTGACTTGACCTGGTCCTCTTTGTGGTCAGAACAGACTCGTTTGCTACAGTAACAAAAACGAGACATGGAGTTCTGCCTGTTTGGAGGCTTGTGTTGCTACAGTGTGTGTTTAATCTCCTCTGCATCACTCACCGATCCTGCAGCTATTACTTTCCACACAGGTAATTCAGATAGTAACTTAGTTGTAACTGTTTGTAACAGACTCCTGCCACATCAGGCTTTATTCACTTTGCTTGTCTCATCCAGCGAGAAGTGAATGGGGCTGAGAAACCTTTGTCTGTGCTGTATGAGTCACACCACTACCGTCATTCCTGTGTTCTGAGACACTGGCCCACAAAGTGTCTTTCCCACTAGTTTATGACCCTCATATCAGCAGACTGTTTGCTCTACAACAATTAAACACAGTCTAAAACTTCTGCTGCTGCGATGTTCACTCACACTGTGTCTGAAATGCAGGGTTTTGTTCATTCATGCAAACATTTATTGGCTTTATCTCTTGAATTTAACATCATATCTGATTCTGTGGTTTTAGTGTGTATCTGTCAGACTCAAATGTTGCAGGGAGTAAATCTCCCTCAGCATTCCTTGGATGGTTTCCAGTAAGCAGCTCAGTCCCATTCTCTCACCACTCAGCAGATCAGCCCAGTAATCCTTAAAGCATCCTCAGGAATGTCTTCCATTATGTAGCCATTCAGAGTTGGACAAAGAGGATCACCATGCAACCAAAGTTCATTAATACTGAATATAGAGTATGGCCAACAGAGGTTCCTCACATCTTGTATCTCTGTGTTCAAATGCAGAATGACTGTTTAGAAGTAACAGCTGTAATGAGCCACTTCTGATGGCTGAGAGTTGCAGAGACACAGATAAGCATAGCCAGACAAAAACAAACCCCAGTGGAAATATTTAGTCTAGGACTGGACATGAGACGTGCCTTTAAATGTGGGAAAGTAAAAGAGATATGGTCCAACAGTAACAAACATATCTGGACTTTAATCTAAATTCACGTAAGGAAACTGCACACACAACATTGTGCTTTCATCCCCTTCACTCTTTTTTCAGGATGTCTTATTGTTTTTCCGACTGTTCTCGTCTGGCTCAGATTTCTTGAACTGAAGTTCTCGGTTTCTTGCAGGTGTCACAGTTTGGTCCGAGGACATGGCTGAGGAGGAAGTGCGGCCTTCTCCCCCCTGGTCAGAAGAACGCTGTGAGGAGCTGTGGGACCGTGTGGAAGGGGTGCGGCACAAGCTGACACGTGTCCTCAACCCGGCCAAACTCACGCCGTATCTGCGTCAGTGCAAGGTCATTGATGAGCAGGATGAAGACGAGGTGCTCAACTCCACGCAGTACCCGCTGCGCATCAGCAAGGCCGGTGAGGTGAAGGCGAATTCATCTGAAGACACTGTCATCATCTATAATAATCTTTATTACTGTTTCATTACCAGTGAGTTGGCTCATTCATCATGGTTGGGAAACCTACGTAACCACCCCCCGTTTCAGTTGTGATAGTTTACTGTACCAAAACAGTGACATGAGCATCAGTTTAATCATCAGTGATGAAGACAGAGGCCCTGGGACGCTGATGAGCCTACACTGTCTGAATTTATTTGCTCCTTTCACTGAACAGGTCGTTTGTTGGACATTCTGCGTGGTCAGGGTCAGCGAGGGATTCAGGCCTTCATGGAGTCACTGGAGTTTTACCACCCTGAGCAGTACACACAGCTGACCGGAGAACAGCCCACACATCGATGCTCCCTCATACTAGGTGAGTATAGGCTTCTCTGCAAATTTCTTTGTCCAGATTTCACAAGAGAATACATCTCTCATAAACCAGAACAATGTGATAGGATTGCTACTGACTGTAACTGTGTTGGTAGATAGAGACATCTTCAGTCTTTAGACTTTCTGACATGGGAAAAATGGCTTGAAAAGGAGTTGCGAGTCCACACTCAGAGCCAAGAACATCAAACTGTGCTAACTTGTTAAAGGTTACATGCCACATGAGCAAAAAAGATGCATAGCCAGCATATGAACAAAACTGTCAAATGTTTGGTTTGACCTCTGCAGCATATACATACTGTACAATAGTTCTGTCCACCCAGATATACAGTATATACAGTCTGACATTACTGAAAGTGCATGCTAATCACTTTAGAACATAAAATCTTACATCTGTCCTCACACATTACAACAAGCCTCTGACATTTTGAACATTAACCAATAACCCCCATGACCTTATAACCTCCCCTTGTCTCTCTCCCAGATGAGGAAGGTCCCGAGGGTTTGACCCAGTTTCTGCTGCTGGAGGTGCATAAACTAAGGGAGCAGCTCCGAAACACCCGCATGTGTGAGCGACGCCTGTCTCAGCGCTGCCGAATGGCGGAGGAGGATCGCAGCCGCGCTGAACGTAAAGCACAGGAGTTGCGTCACGACGTACTGCAGCTCGAGAGGTTTGCCTGACTTTTCTGGGGAGCGTAGTTTGTTCCTTTAAGACTGAATCCTACTGTTTCTATTAGATAGAAACCGAAAAGAAACTTTTGTCTCAGGGATGATTGGTCAGTGACAATGATTTGTCAACCATAATTAAGAGACGTTATAATAACCTTTGCTAAATGAGTGAATTCAGACAGTCCATTATTTCCCAGGTCTTTTCTCACAGTTTGCATTGTGCGATAGAAATACGACTAAGAAATATTAAGATTGTGTGCACTGGATGATTTGTGATCTAAAGGCTGCGTCATGACTGGGAGTCAGCCAGCCGAGAGCTGGGGAAGCTGAAGGACCGAAACCTGGAGCAGGCCCTGAAGTACTCCAGGGCCCTGGAGGAGCAAGGCAAAGCCTCCACCCGAGAGAGGGAGCTACTGAGGCAGGTAGGTCGTTTGGAACAGCACAGGTAAAAACAGAAACTGTACAGAAAAGCCCATCATGTGTTTTATGATTCATTTATCCTGGTAGAGAGGCTGAGGCTGTTTTATTTTGTCATGGCCAACACATCCAAACCTAGGAGCTAACACAATCAGTCTTTTATTGAGAAGCAGCCCCCTCACTGCTACGAGTGAAGTGAGAAGATGAGTCAGGCATTGCTCAACCGATCCACAGAGTGGATAAACACTCCTCGTCCCCCAGCTTGTCTGCTCCTCAGAACCCTAAGGGTCTCCATGTGAGCCACAACAAATGTCTGCTGCCAGAGATGCAGCTTATAACAGTCATTTCATATGTTGAGACAGGGAAAGTTATTTTTAGGTTCACCTTGATACCATAAGGCAGAAAATACCAACCTGAGGCCTTTTCAATTGAAGCTGTTTGGTCTGGCACACAGCTGCAGGAGAACTAAAGTGAGCAGTTCAGACCAGGAATTGCTATCAGCCTCGTTTTGACTTTGTTCATGCACTCTCACAACATGTACCACTGAGATATGAACCACTTGCAAATACCTGGAAGTATTTGTTTCTGGGCTTCTGGCAATAAGGACCTGGATAAATGCACCAGGTGAGCAACTTCAGCTGCAGAGAATAGACGCTGTGTTTTAGTCCGGTGTCTAGCTTTAGTCATCTATAGTGCACACAAGCTTTTTTCCTAATCGCACAAAGCCAAACCTCTGCTCTGTCCGGGTGCCGTTACATTAGAAAATTCCTGAAAACATCTGACAGATGGCCCCCGAGATGCACTAACAAAAACAAAACTTCAAAAGTAAAATTAGCAAAGTAACCTACTATACTGTGACCACTGGTTTTAAAATCACACAAAAGATTCAGATTATATGGAAGCATTCACCAAAAACTGGACACCTCATCTCCAATCTATCAATTGTCTGTTTGCTGTTCTTTTGACTTTAATGTGTGATCAGCCGTCATGCTCCCTTTAGCTTTTTGCATTGTTTTTGGATTAAGAACTGCAACTTGCAATAAAATCAGCTGTAATACCTGTGTTCTTTTGACTTTAATGTGTGATCAGCCGTCATGCTCCCTTTAGCTTTTTGCATCGTTTTTGGATTAAGAACTGCAACTTACAATAAAATCAGATGCAATACCTGGAGCCTGAAAAAAAACTCTGAATTTTATGGTTACCTTAAAGCTCCGAGAGTCATGGTATTTAGACTGACTCCTGGGGCATCAGAAGCTCTGCACACTGGTAGCTCCATGGTTTTTTTTTTGTGGCTATATGGAAATACAAGCATACATTGTGGCTGAAAATCAATCTTAAAGCAGGAGGAACCTAATGTTAAAGATATTTCTTAAGGTCTTTCTACTTGAGAAAAACATTCAAGAAGTTACTCGTTTCATGATGCATGTTTGTTTCCAACCAAGACGTACACTACCAGATTTTTAAGTGTGGGGACTTTGTCTACAGGTCAATGTTACACATGGCCAAAGAAGCAAAATGGCAGCGAGCAGCAGCCTAAACTTAATGTTTATTACAGTAAACTTAATGCATTACTGCTGTGACTTAACCAGAAGATGTTGCATTTAAGTTAGTGCAGCTTGAGTTATACAGTATATTGAATGTTATGTTTGTTCTTATAAAAGCAAAATTAACCTGCTGGATTTTTGAAGAGAGTTGTCATTTATCAGAAAGACAAAACATATCAAGTGAAACAATGTGCGCTGTACTTGGTGCTGAAGAGAATCCTGAACAACTTTTGACTCCAGAATCTGAAACACTGACCTCATTAACCCCATCTATCAATAATAGTCTGCAGAAACAAGCTTCATGTAGTTTTAACTATACATTTATTTCAGTTACAATTTTTAGGAATTAAGAGTTTATACAAAGTGTGTTTAAGAAATACCCAATGCTTCTTTGACAGTTTACATTTCTATGCCTCCTCACAGGCGACAGCTGTGGCTGAAAGAATAATTCTACATGACGTCAAACCGGCACACTTGACTGTACAATTAAATCCATTTGTATAGCGCCAAATCACACCAAGTCATCTCAGCATCAGTATAGAGGAAAAAGAAAAAAAAAAAAACCCCCAACAAATCCCCCTTGAGCAAGCACTTGGCAACAGTGGAGAGGAAAAACTCCCTCTAGAGGAAGAAAAACTCCCTTTACAAGAAAAAAAAACTCCCTCTAGAGGAAGAAACCTCCGACAGACCCCGACTCAAGGTGGGCGGCCTTCTGCCTCGACCGGTTGGGCTGAGTGGAGAGTTTTCATAATCATCACTTCATAGAAAACAAGGCAACTACACTCACTTTGTGAGTGAGCTTATTTAAAGTCTGAACCATCTGTCTCTGCCAGGTTCCTCCCTCCCCAGACCCTAAAACACGCCCGGTTGATATCGCAGCTACCGCGCCACAGAGCTCTAACAAGACCATCTACCTATGAAACTGCTAAATGTATCCCCACGCCAGTGATAATACTTTACAGGGGCGGGATGAATTCCCCTGCTGGGAGGCCTCCCACAAATCGAAAATCTAATAAGTACACAAAACGCAACGCTTTCCCTCCCCAGGCCTACCTGAAGCGCGAGTCTCCCCCTTGAAACTTGGCAGAGCGAGACAACTCAGAAATTCAACCCTAAAGTAAAATAAAGTTATTACAATCTGGGCAGTGATGATTTTGAAACACCACAACTACACTTTACAAGACAGGCCTATAATAAAGCACAACTTAATGTGTATGGAGAATCAGTCTAACCACTAAGCCTGCCCCAGTAATTCCACCATTTATCACAATTATTTTTACATCATTAAAGTTCCAAATTGCAAAGTCCAGAAACAATTTAACTTAAAGTCCAGAGGAAAGGTTACAGTTCAGTAGCTGCAGTCATCTCATCCAAGACAGAGGTGAACTCAGGTAAAGCTGAAATAGTCCCTTCAAGATCAAGTCGACGCTCAGGACGTCTGTAGCAGCCTCCTCATGGTCCCGTTTGCGTCACCAGGTTGTTTTCTCCAGCTTCAGTTTCTTAAGGTTGGGCATCAGAGATGAAAAAAGAAAAGTCACTCAATTGTAAGTACAAAGACAAAGATTTTATCAAGTGGACAGAAGTGAATACCTGATGTCTCTGAAGAGATCAACTCGTTGTACAGAGGCATCATCGATGAGGGTCTGGTACAGCAGGGTCTTTGTCTTCTGGTTCCCAGCATCCCACGTGCTGTCGCCTGGAGCGGGGGGGGGGGGGAAGACAGGAAACAGCTTGGTAAACTGCAACTTTTCAACCAAGTAAAATCTATTTTTCTCTAACAAAGATTATAGCCCGTCTACCTGCACACTGTCCCTCACAGTGGCTTCATTCTCCCTGACTGGTGCTTTCAGATATTTGACTAGGGAGCTGTGGAACAGTGCATTCAATTTAGAAAGAGGAGGAGGGGAAGAAGATCTAACCACCACCAGCATGGTCCTGAAACTAGTTGTGTTCACTGAGAACAAGAGATGTAGGTTTGTTAGTCTAAAAATCTAAAGCTCAAATACTGATGAGGATGTGAGAGGTGTGCTGCTTCTTGTCCTTCCATTATTCCCAGTGTAAGGGCACAATGCATTAACTGAGTTTTATATGCCTTTATCAAGTCAGGTCTACTCTGTGCATCCTCATCTTGAACTGTGATAGTCACAGCTGGCTCTGTCTCACCAAATCTACCTTAAACATATCAATTGTACAGCGCATCTCTTAGTAGGATCATAACAGCATACCATGTCAGCCGATTCACAAAACCAGAGGGATCCTTGTCTGGTTTTGGAATATGCACAACCATGGCACACCATAACTTGAAAGCTCGGACTCCTTCACACACTGAGAAGAAGGGGAAGGAGGAAAAACCTCTTATGATGAGTCGACTCAGTTGGCCTCATTCTCTGTAGTGTGGAGCAGCCCTGGCTTCCTTAACCCTAGAACTGACTGTTACTCTGCACTGATTTAATAAGAAACACAACCTGTAATGTTTCCAAAAGACAGTAACTATCACTGATTTGACACTACAACTGTCTCCCATGTTGGCTCCCTACTCTCTCACTTCTAATGTATGTCTCATCTTAGAAAACACCATCAGTGTACATTGTGTAGGAATATGTGGAGTTGGAAAAGAGGACAAGCTAATTCATGCTGCTAAGCTAAGAAAGACATGATGTACTGCAAAGGGCCAATTTTCATTTTAATAACTGAGGTACTGTCCCTGCAAAGCTTAGTTCCTTCCATACAAAGTCTGTTAGCCTTGAGACAGTTCAGCCCACAGTATAATCTTGCTATAAGAAAGTTAAGAGTAAAACTCAGTAATACGTTCAATATGGTGTAAACCTGTGTAGTTGACAATCAGGCTTCATAGTATCACTGCTGTTGTTGTCACAGACAATAGGGAAAATCCACCCAAAATGGGTGTACACACGCTTTTTTTATAAAGTCATCTATCTCTGCCAGGCTCCCTCCCAACAACCCAAACGCACCCCCAGCTGGTACCGCGTAAACCAGGTCCGACAACAATGTAAATAAACTGTCTAAAGTATCCCCGCATCAGTGGCATAACGCTTTGCAGGAGTGGGATAAATTCTCCTGCTGGGAGGCCTCCCAACATCCGGAAAATCTAATACGAAAACCTGAACTCTAACCTCACCGGGCCTAGTTGAAGCGCGAGACTCCCTCTTGAAACTTGGCAGAGCGAGATGACCCAGAGGCCTAATGCTAAAGTACAATAAACTGTTTTTAAAACAAATCTCTATAACAGCATTTAAAGATACATAGTACTGTTTGTGAGAAAAAAAAAAAAATATTCCAGTTTATCTAATCTAACGTTTAACTTGACAAAATATTGTGTCAAAAAAAGATTTTACATGTATTCTAACAGATTATCTATGGGCTGAACAGCAGTAGAGAAAGCCAGTGTCCCAAACAGTGGGACAGACAATTAAGCTAATGTGTCAAAGTATAAAGTGGGCACAGAGTAACAGGCAGAGTTTACCCCAGTAACCAAAGCAGTGCAGGACTATTAAAATGCGTGATACACTGACTGTATGCGACCTGGTAAACAGATGAGGGGCATGAGGCAGATGGTTAACGACTGAACTTCACCCCCAGTAGGACACAAGACTAACACAGAATAGATGGGCATGTTGAACAGATAGGCAGTGAGAGAGAGGGAGAGAAAGCCAAGTCCCTTCAATACTTCCTTTATGAGTATCTGGAGGTGGTACAGCAGCAAATGGTCCCACATCACGGAGGTCGTCAGATGGTTGGTGACCGAAACTCCACCTGGATGTGAGAAGCAAAGAGATTTACTGCAAGTTGCCATGGTGACCATGTTAGACAGACAAAGACACATCTTGTCAGTCCTCACCTTATGAGCGTCCTGCCATGACCAGCACTGCTTGTTGTGGTGTCTCATGTCACATACCTGTTGGAGGAACTGAAAGGCAGGACTGCCTAAAAGTTTAGTGCCTTACCTTTTTATCAGACTCTTATGGCTCTGTTTACTTTTATGGACAGACGAGAACATGCAAACAAAGGTGAAGAGAGAAGTGTGCATGCACAGCAACAAACAGACAAACATAAGACAGACATGCAGATGTACAGACAAACAGAAAGGGCACAGATAGGAGCTTCACTGGCGAGGTTCTTCAGAGGATCCCAGGTTTCAGTCCAGATTGGCATATTCAGCTCCAGAGGAAAGGTTCATTCAGCTGCTACCGCCATCTCATCCAAGGTGATGCTGGAATTATGTGTAGTTGACTGTGCTTCCCACAGCTGAGGGGGTCTCATTGGGTCAGGTCGAGTCTGAGTCTCAGCACCAAACAGTGTGGTGCACACGCCAAACCA